TGAGTATGGATCGATTGGGACTCTTTCAACAGCTACATTGGCACCTTTGTAGAGCATCCGGTTAGAGTTTCGGCCTCAAATACTTGATACTTGTGATTGGTTGCTTGGGCACTTCTGGTGAGCATCCGGTTCGAGGTCCGGCCTCCGTACTGTCAGATTCTACTAATTGAGGTTGAGGTTCTTGTTCAATGATCTCTGTTCCTGGTTCTCATATGCAATTCTATTTTAGTTATAGTTATTTTGTGTACTCGTCGGGCTTATGGGGGTCCGTTCGGGTTTTAAATAAACTTGCGCACAAGTGTACCTCCTGGGCTTATGGGGGTCCATTTAGGTGTAGTTAGCTTGTAGATTACTTTAGTTAGTTCTTTCTACACTCGTGTGCATTCCATTGTTAGTTAGATTTTCGTTCTTGACCTCTGTTTGTGTTATTCCTTCTTTTCATATTGCCTTTACTTTTCAAGTTCAGTCGACCTATGATGCCTACTGGGTACCTATTGTTTGGTACTCATGCTACACTCTGTATCTGTTTTCGTGATGCAGGTCCGAGCACCAGTAGTCAGCGTTGATCGAGTTTGAAGCAGTCTGATCCGGAGACGGGGGTGAGCACACGGCGTTTTGTACTATTTCAATCTCCATCTGTATATATAGACTTGTCTTTTATCTTTCGAGACAGTCCAGTCTCTATGGTCCATTTTTGTGACGGATACTCATTTTGTTAGTAGCTCTATACTAGTGACTTCCAGGTTCTGGAAGGGATCTTTATTTGCATGTATGTTTTTGGGTTGCTTCTACCTGTTTATATTGTTATCTTAAATTTTGCCTACTCTTGTTTAATTTCTGCCCTTAGACCCATTACTTGTTGTTCCGGGTTACGGGTTGGCTTACCTACTGGTGGGTTATAGTAGGTGTCATCATGACTCGAGAAATCGGGTCGTGACAGGACCTTTCCTCATTGATAAGAGAGATTTCAAATATTAGATCGAAATTTGACAAAGCAAACTTTATGTTAGCTAGACAAATTGATTGACAGTAGGAAATTGGGCAATAAGTTTTTGCTAATAGCTCAAGTTTTTGTTGTTTTGTGTTCGTTATTCTAAGGGATAAGGGTCTGAAAAATACCCCAACTTTGGTCGGATTTGTTGTTGCGATACTAAACTTTCATGAGGACCTATTATCTCCCTAGACTATTTAATACCGTATTTTAAACATATATATTTACCCACGTGGACATAAAAAATAATGCAAAATTATAAATAGTAATGTGTCCGCGTGGGCACATATATACCTTTAAAATACACTATTAAATAATTCAGGGGGTAAAAAATACGGGATTAAATAGTCTAGGGAGGTAATAGGTCCTTATGAAAGTTTAGTATCGCAACAGCAAATCCGGCCAAAGTTGGGATATTTTTCAGACCCTTATCCCTTATTCTTACTATATTTTCACTATCAATTTTTTTTCTTTG